TTCTTAAATAATTAAATTGCTTGATGTTTTCAGTTCAAGGCTTCGCCTTCGAGGAGCAGGAGAGAGAAGTGTGGTTGTCTCACAAAATGAAGTAAGAGACATTGAAGACTTCCCCTATGGATGTGGGGACAAGGGTACCAAATGCTATACACAAACTCGTGCAACTGCCATTGAAATTCTACCACCTCTAGAGGCTGAATCTACTGGAGCACTGGAAAGAGCCACTGAAGATTTTCCATACACATTGGATGAGAAGGATATGAAATCCTATGTTCACAATTGTGATGAGCCTATCATTGAAGTTCCAGCATCTCCAGAACCGGAATCCACGGTATCACTTGAAAGGGGCATTGAAGAAATTCCATATGAGTCAGATGATGATGAGATACCTCACTTCAGGCTTGATACGGAAGAATTCAAAAGAAATTTGCTAAATTATTTGAATCCAGATGACGTGAAAGAAGAAGTATCAAATGCTTTGGTTGCTTTGACTCCAAATGGTGCTACAATACCAGCACCTAAAATTAAGACGGTTGAGCGATTAAGGACGAAACACCGAGTGTAAGTGATCATATTCATTTTCTGAATCTTGAGAAATAATTCTAGTAAATGCCAAATGCTAATATTATCTTTGGGAACTTTGATTACAAAACAAAATCAACTTACAAGTACTGATATTTTTCACTCTTGCAGCTATATTCTTCCAGATACACATCCGCTTTTGAATGACGTGAGTTTTGTCTCTGTAATAATATTATATTCCCTCCGTCCAAAAATAAACTTTTCATATTCCTTTCTGTGTCGTCCAAAAATAAACTTCTTATTCCTTTTAAGGAAATCATTGAATGGTTCAAATCAATTTCTCTCCCTTTGCATAAATCTCAACCATAAAATTTCACATTTTCTTTAACTTTGGAAAAACAAACATGATGTTTAATTTGGGACGTAAGGAGTATGTGCTTTGTTGCACCTGGTTTTCACTTCAGTCTTTTTTTTTGCTGATTTTGAAGTTTCCAAAACGGGAATGTGATGATCCTTGCCCCTATCTTCTCGCAATTTGGCCAAAAGGTAACATCATATAATAGAATTCTAATAATAAATCTATTGCACAACTATAAGTAGTAGATAAACTCAAAAACTGTGGGCGGTTTTGTAATTATTTTTTATCCCTGGATAACAGAATCTTCCAATAAATCAGAAAAGGAAAGCAGCTCCCAGGAATCTGAGATGTGTGGTGGAGATATAGACTCTCTAGGCAATGCTACTCAAGAAGCAAATGACCAAACAGTTTGTGGAACAATTTTGGTGAGCAAAACTTAGCTTAGATTCTCTACATTATACTGGTTTGTGCATTGCATACAAATTGACACATCTCAAATGAATGGGTGTAGATACCATGTCGAACAGCAAACAAAGGAAGCTTTCCCCTTAATGGAACATATTTTCAAGTCAATGAGGTACTGTAAGATAATTTATTTATATGCTATATGCCTATACCTGTCATTAATTGTTTCCACTTACAAACCCTTCTTTCAACAGGTATTTGTTGATCATGAATCCAGTGAATGTCCAATTAATGTCCCTCGGAAATGGATTTGGGCATTGGAACAACGAAATCTATATTGCGGAAGCACTGCATCAGCAATATCCAGAGGTAAGAAAAGCCAGTGACTCATTTTGTGTATTCGTTAAAAAGTTTAGTGCTTTTGATAAGTGTGGAATGCTAGAATCAGTCTTGGTTGGCAATGCAACTACAAGTGTTTTGTCTGAAATTTCTGGAAGAAACTGTCTTTTGAAGAACTTGGTGCTTTTTATGTTATAAAAGGACCTTGAAAATGGTCACTCAAACATCATCAAGAAAAGCACTTTTACCCCTCTACAATTTATTTATTTATTCCCTTCCCAGAAGATTCTTATAATAATTTGGAGTGGTAACTTTTAAATTTTGCTTGAAGTAACTTATAAATGTTCTCTAATATGCAACTCTAGGTATGGACATGCAGGAGATTCAACATTGCTTTTGGAATGGTATGAAGCCAGCTCTTTTACTTTTACTTGTATGAATTATTTACCAGCAAAAAAGGATCAAATCATCAGGGTGTTTTTTTTAAATCTGTGCTTTTAACATGTTTACTCCATCTGTAAAACAGGGTTTATTTGTGTGAGAGCATTCAACAGGCGAACGTGCAAGCCAGAGCATCTTGGAAAACGGTTCCATGAACTCCCCAGTGTTGCTGGGAAGAAGAAAATTCTTGATGATGAATAATAATAATAATAAGATGAGAGTTGGAACATGGCTGAATTGGAGTCTAAAACTAACCATTCATGTTATTGACATACTCTCCAACATATATTTGACATTATGACATTGTCACATTCTTTAGGCATTGATTAGTGCTCCCTCCTCTCTCTCCTAAAACAGCTATGTTTCAAAATTTGACTCCAAAGTCAAAAATCAACTTGTGGGGTGCAATTGACGGGGGTAGGGGGGTGTGTTCGGGGCGGGGTGGGAGGGTTTGCCGGGGCGGTTAGGGAGGTAGGAACCGTCAATTTTACGAACGGGGCACTGGAGCGCCCCCGGGTCATCCCATGACATTGGATTCCAATGTTATGAGAACCTTGGTGTTATTTTTAATATCAATAGTAGTAGCATAATTTTACTCTTCTTAATTTTCGTGTCGATCTCTCTTTATCCAAAAATAGTGCGAGGAGTACTTAAGTTTTAGTCAAATTTCAATCCAATTTTGTGAAAGCTTAGTTCAATAAATTTCAATCAAAACGTACCGACTTCAAAGAAAACTCCTTTTGCGGGGAGTGTGTGTCTATTTATTAGATTTACCAACATTCGTAATTTCGTGTTGAAATGTGCTTCATCAATAGGCTACTAAGAATGAATAGAGGTTTGAGGGGAGTAGGTGGATGCAAATTTTAGCCCTCTCCTAACCTTCTGTTTCTTTTACCAATGGGTTCTCTTGATACATTTTGTCTTGTAAGAATTATCAGAAATAATTATTTGAACTTTTGATTGAATTGATCGTTTGATAGGGTATTAGAAATATGGAGACTACGAGTTTGAAACTCACCGCTGCCCTATTTTGAAAATGCTCCGTAGTAATGTCCATGTGCAAGATTAGAGCAAAAGCAAAGCCTGCACGTGAAGGGCGTGTTGGAATATTAGAGATTTGGAGAGAACGAGTTCGAAACTCACCGCTACCCAAATTTTAAAAATACTCCGTAGTAATGTCCATGTGCAAGATTAGAGCAAAAGCAAAGTCTGCACGTGAAGGACATGTTGGAATATATAATACTCAGCATACAACCACAAGCTTAGAGAGGTAATGGTGACCTACGATTTTTCTGAAAAACTTATTTTGTGCAAAGAAATGAAAAGTATGATTGTTTGAGATAATTCTCCTGTTATATTTTTATTTTTAAATTTTAAAATTTGAGCATATGTTTTTTAAAAAATAAATATACACTCTTATCAAATATTGGTTTCACTCTTTTAAAAATATACTCACAAATCTTGTAGTGTTGTTTTAGGAAAAAATAGCAATGAATTTTCGAAAAAACCATTTGTAGTGCCGTCTCTGGAAAAAATAGTACTACTAGTAATGCTATTTTGGGGAAAAAATACCTGATTACCAACAAATTAAAGTTGGTTCGAATTTTTTTAGGACAATCGGAAAAAAATTTTAGTGTGGTTTTTGAAAAAAATTGTATGTAGTACAGAAAACTTGTTTTGAATTGTAAAAAAAAAAACTAGTTCCATTTAGAGAAAAAAATGTTTTCCTATAATTCATTCGAAAAGTTTCATGAAATGGCATTAAAAAAATTGTGAAATTGGCACAACAGTTTTTTACGTTTATAAAAATAATTAGAACGAAGTATGGAAAAAAATTTGTGCTACAATTATTTTTGTATTACAATCTTTTCTTCTAAACAACACAAAATATTTTTAGATAAATCAGTACAATATTTTTTTCTCAAAATGGCACTACAAATTATTTTTTCGATAACCCATTACAGAGTGCTACTTTTTCCCGAAACGACACTATAAAATTGTGAGTCGTTAAATTCTATAAGAGTGACACAAATCTCTTACAAAATCATAATATTATATTTTCAAAAACAAAATTTCAAATTTTAAAATTTTAGACAAATAAAAAAAAAGAAAACTTACCTCAAATAATCATACCTTTCATTTAATATTCATTTTAGATCTTTAGGTCAATTTCTTTGGTAGTTTTTAAATTAATACTCATTTTATAGATCTCAATACATAAAATGATTATATATATTGAGCCTTGTAAAAAGACAGAAGACAGAGATAGAAAAATGAGATCATGAAATATCTCTAAGAACACCCATATTTGAACCTAATTTAGAACCACAATAGCATAATTCAATGTTAACTCACTAGCAGCCACCTAAAACTCGCATACACAAGAAAAGATAGGCTTATTACGTGTAACATTGAAAAAGGGATAGTTTTTTTTAAAAAAACCGCATATAGGTGATATTATTTTAAATTATTTTCACTTTTGTTATTTATAAAAGACATCTCACACTATGATTGGTAAAATGTATGACACCTTTACGCGGTTTTCAAATGTTGTTATAAGAATTTACGATGGGTTACCCAATTATATTAAATTTACATTATAAGAATATATAATTTGACCCCAAAAATTTAAACTAAAATATTTTTTTACAAAAACTACTCCGTATTTAGAGTCTCAATCTTAAAGTATAGATAAGGGTCTGTTTGGTATAAGCAATTGGTGGAATTGAAATTGAAATTCCATGCAATTCAATTTCATAAAATAGAATTTTATCAATTTCAATTCATTTTTTGCACTATTAATTCTAAATCCACATAATTTTTGTGCTACCAAATACTAGAATTGGAATTGAAGTCCCTAATTCAAATTCCATAGTTTGAATTCCATGTACCAAACGGGATTGATAATAAGAATCCCTTCCATAGGAACCCGTGTCTTTTTCTGAAATTAGGATGTTATGATTCTTTGATAAAAATGGTGCTACACTAATGACCACATAATGTTTTCATCAAAAGGAATGAGAGTTTTTTAATATTACGTTATAGTGGATCGATCTAAAATCTACATAATTTTGTGTGGAGTCAAAGATGAAGGTGATAACCAAATGCTTATCATTCAGACAAATATCTTTTTGAAAAAAAATAATAATAAATATGATAGTGTTTGACTAGTTTAATAACAATTATCTTTTTGAAAAAATAATGCTCCATTCAGTTCAAAAATCTTTCCTGCTTTGACTTTTTTTTGTCAAAGAGTGACACTCTTTGATCATAAATTGTGAATAAAATATATTTAATTATAATATAAATTCAATATAAATATCGAGAGTAATAAATATGAGTGTCTGTTGAAGCCTGTCGTGCAGTCCAAAAGAAATTAAAAATTTATGAATATTTTTTAACTAACCCCCAAGATATAATTTTAAAAACCATAGCAAGTACAAGTAAGGGTCGGTCTCACGGAAAATTTTTTAAATCAATTAAACATGCACACATATTGTCACAAAATAAATAAAAATAAAACGAACTAGTACACATATGATAAGAACTTATAAAACTTATGATTACATAAACATAAAATTTATCAATAACTTATATAAACAAAGAACTTATAATATAACTTATAAACACAAAACACATATGTAAAATATACTAAAAGAATAAAGTGTAAGAACTTATATTCATAACTTATAAACAACCCCTTGGTTCCCATGACATTGGGAACCAAGGTAATGGGATGACCCAGAGGTGTTCCGGTACTCCGTTCGTAAAATTGACGGTTCCTACCCCTCCTAACTCCCCCGGTAAACCCCCGCTCCGACTCGAACACACCCCCACCCCCTTCAATTACACCCCACAAGTTGATTTTGACTTTGCAGTCAAATTTTGATTCCAAGATCTAGGTCGGATCGAATTGCCCAGGTCGCACATCCCACAAACTGACTGGCGGCTGGACACAACCAAAATTTTGAGCCGGATTTAGAGACCCGCTCCTCCTCCTCCGCTGCCATCAACAATTGCAAACCCGGTGGGACCTAAGAGACTAGGTAGAAGAATACCGAACGAGTACTAAGTTGCAAGAGTCGAGAAAATATATTAGGTTGATAGTAAAAGTGAACGGGGTTCTCCCACTCCCTGAGGGGGGAATTTATACAAAATACAATTGTGCCTCCCGACTGTTAGTCTACGGCCTAACAGGTCGGGCCCATCAAGTTCTGGTCGTTCGACCAGCAGTGCCAACAATATGACTACAAGCTATGGTGGCTACAAAGGATGGGCGACAATAGGGCGGCTACAACTAATCTAGCAGACAAGTGTATCAAGGCGTCCAATCGTGGGTACGCTGATTGGACGGGGCATGCAAGCCACCATGCCCTAGTGGGCCCTAACGCATAGTTGGCGGTCGAGGCCGAGCACGCACGCTTAGCTGTTGAAGATTGTCCTTAGCTTTGATACTACTTTTAGAACCTCAAGCGCTGCGAGCTCTTTTAAAATCAATTGGTGTTAAAAGTTGTGCATACCCTAGCCTTATAGTGCATTCAACACACAAGCGCCCACGATATTCGATTGTGACTTGGCCCACATAGCCTCCGCCATGGGACAATTGATGCAGACATGACCAACAAAAATAAGCTCAAAAGATAATCAACTTCTCCAACTTAGGTAATTCGTGAAACACCGCCAAGAACCCGAAACAAAATATAAAAAACAAACACAAGTCAATCATTACACGTAGAATAAGCACGTAAATAATATATTATCTAACTTACAAACATAAGAAAATAGTTCAAAGGACCAAGTTGAATAATATCCTTGACCACAAGGATCGTCAAATCTCTATAAGGTCCGAAGTCATGTAATTCAAAAGCTCGTTTTGAAAAAAGAAATATACCTGAATAGAAGTAAAAAAACTATGAAAATACTACAATAGCAGTCCTAAATTTTTTAAGACCAAAATAGGAGTATAATGACAGTGTGATGTAAGAGTATGCGTTGGCAGTGTGATGGAAAAGTGATGACATTGTAATATATCAGTGTGTTCAGTCAATCGTCATTGATCCGTAGCGGCACTTTCGTGGCTGGCGGCGACGGATGACAGTGTGGCAGTGATAATTTGGCAGTTACAATTTGACAATATGGTGATAGTGACAGTGTAACAATGCCAAAGTAAACTTTTATTTTGGTCATAAAAGACTTATAACTCTTATTTTGATTTATACATAACAACCACAAAGAGAAATGGTACTTTGGTTGAATGACATACTATACATATTTATTCATAATTGATATAATTTACTTCTTTTATCCCAAACTATTTGTCATATTACGCATAACGAGGTAACATTTTAAAGTTTTTCATTTCATTATATTTAATATTGGTATTGAGATAAAAAATAAGATTTACATATTTAAAAGTAAGTGGAATATTCTTCAAAACAAGAAGTGACAAGAATATTTTATTTTATCAAATAATCAATGAAAACATACAAATACACAAAAGTTTCCAGGATTTATGAATAGTGAATTGTGGCATTTCTTTTGGGACGGAGGGAGTATCATATGATAGGGAGCCGAGGGAGATCTTGTGGAGATATCTTGAGTTTAGAAGGGTTCCAATTGCGTACATTTGTGCAATTAAAGATATGTACGATGGATCAAAGACTATAGTGAAGATTGTAGGGGGAGACTCTACTCCGTTTCTTATAGAGGTGGGGTTACACCAGGGGTCTGTCCTTAGTCATTTCTTGATTGCCTTGGTGATGGATGTTCTACCGCAAGATGTCCAAGGGAAGGTCCTTTGGCGCATGCTATTTGCTGACGATATTGTACTGATCAACAAGACTCGTGTAGAGCTCAATGACAAGTTGGAGTTGTGGTGTCAGTCACTGAAATCTAGAAGATTTAGACTGAGCGGGACTAAGATAAAATATTTGAAGTGTTGCTTTAGTGGTCTGGTGACGAATTCGGGAGTGGAAGTTAGGACTGATTCACATCAAGTGCCTAAGAGGGATAAGTTTTAGTATCTTGAATTGGTTCAATCATTCATGCAGATGCGGAGATAGACTGGGATGTCTTTCACCGTATAACCGTATTGGAGCCACTTGGGCTAAGGGAAAGCTAGCTTCAAGGGTTTTGTGCGATAAGAAGAACTCATCATGGATGAAAGTAGATCCGGTCACAAGCTCGGGTATTCAGCCTACTCGTAAAATGACGGGCTTGTGCTTGACATTTTAGGGTACAAGCCAGGCTTGAGTTTTTTAAACAGCGCATGTACACTTTAAGCCTGGGAATAGGTTTTTTGATGAAGCCCGCAGGCCGTTTCAACCTGAATGATTAACAATATTTATTTATTACAATAATTATAATATAATAATAACAATGACAACAAAAATATTAAAAATAATACAAACAAAAATATTTTTTCAAATTATTATAAATACACATATATATACATTTTTGGAGAAAAAAAGAGAATTGTAAATAGATTTAATTAAAAAAAATAGACTACATACTAAAAAAATTATACTACCTATGTCCAAGAGTATTTGTCCAGTTTTGAATTTTTTCAAGCAACCATTTTTAATCTTTGACATATAATTAAATAAAATATATGTTGTATATTAATTAGTTAAAATAATATTTTGAAAATATTTTATATAATAAATCTAATAAAACTACTTTTGCATCAGTATCTAATACTATTTTTATTTAATTTGGTGTCAAAGTTTACCAATTTTGACCCAAACAAGTCAAAAGTAGACAATAATCCGGGACGAAGGGAGTACATCTTTATTATTACATACTATTCGCTCCGTATTATTTACTCCCATCCCATATCAATAATGATATTTAAATAAACAATAATAACATTATCAAACAAAACACATTTTATATATTAGTTGTTCTTTGATATACTCATTATAGTTATTATATCAAATGTATAATAAATAAATATATTACTTTATTTAAAAAATTATTTATAAATATTCAGAAGAGGTTGCCAATGTGGACAAGAATGGCCTTAAACCCTCCGGTATCCGTGCGGGTAAGGCTCGGGTTTCAATTGTTAGGCCCGTTATACGGGCCGAGTCGGTTTGTACTTGAGCATAGAAATTTTTTGTAATATAGCATCTTGACCCGACCCAAAACATGGTTTGGCCCATACTTTGACCGGGCCTAGATGAAAGGAAAGTTCTATTGGTTGGTGGACAAGCCGACTACGCGGAAGAGATGTGAATGCTAAGGTGGGTGCGTGGGTAGACGAGGTTGGTTATTATTCAAAAGGAGGTGATCCACAGACAGGTGGGTGTGATTCCTGTGGAGGATAAGTTACAAGAGGTTAGGTTTGGTTTGGTCACGTGAAGTGGCGTAGCATTGAGGCTCTGATGCAGAGATGCGAGGAACTTACATAGTGAGTGGGGTGGAGGAAGGGGTAGATCTAGGAAGAGTTAGAAGTGATTAAACATGACTTACTTCTAACCTTTGTCGAGAATATGACGTTAGATAGTAGACCTGACAAAAAATGACCCGACCTGTTTTTGACCCGAGACCCGACCCGAAAATATTGGGTTTTGAACAAAGGTTTTGCTGACCGAACCCGAAATGACCCGCTAAAAATGGGTCAAACCCGACCGAACCCGACCTGACCGACCCGCTAATCTAAGATGTTTTCAGAATCATACTCCCTCCGTTTGGAAAAACACTTCCCATTTGGATTTGGGGCAAAAATAAGGAAGTGTTAAATTATAGTTGATTTTCAATTTTGCCCCTGATGTGATGGGTAAAAGTAAGATGTGATGGATAGATTATTAGAGAAAAAATATGATGTAATAGGTAGGGTATGAAAAAGTAAGGGTAAAAGTGGTTTTTTTAATAGGATTGGAAGTGGAAGAAATGAAAAAGGGAGTGTTTTTGAGAACGGAGGGAGTACATTTTAATATGAAATGTAGTGTTATAAAAATAAGATTATAATTATATTTCTTTGCTTACTACTCATTTTTTGTGTATAGATTTATACCATCATAACAAATTTTAATGATGTCGCATAATTATCTTACATTTTTTCAAAATTTCTACATATTTAATTTTTTTATTTGTAATATTGACACTAAGTCAATTACTTGAAATTTCAAAAAAATAAATGAAACTCATAATCCGTTGGGTCAACCCGAACCCGATGACACTGGGTCATTAACATGTACGGAGTAATTATCAACCTGAACCCAAACTTATCCGAACCCGAAGTAACCCGAACCCAACCTGACCGACCGATTTGCCAGTTCTATTAGATAGGAGCCTTTGGAGATCTTGGGCTATAATAGTTGGATAGCCCCTTGAATCATGATCTTTTTGTTGTAGTTGTTTGGACTAGGATACTCAAAATTTGTACACACACAGACATTGAGTGTTTGTGTGTCGATTTTTGCCTTGGTAGGTTCCCTAAATGTTTTCCAATTTAAGAAGGCGCTAAGATGAGGTTCTATCACTTTATTGTTTTCCCTTTAAGATGGAGGTAGTATATCAAAATAATTCTAGTGAATTAACATACCTCAAAAATATTTTAAGAACCAAATTTGATAGAATTTCACTCCAAACCTCAAACTATGACTTCTACGTTTCTAAGCGAGTGGGATTGTGGAGCGTGGAGAAACGAGATGCACTCCTCCCAAATAATCCTAAATTGGATTAGAATTGCGTAAGAGAAAAAATCTGAAATGAGTTGCAAATTGGATAGGTTTCTCTTTACGAAATGATAGATTGATTAATTTACAAGGGCAATTATTGTTTCCAAGTGGGGTTGGGGAAAGTTTTGAAGAAGAATGGGAATTTGGAGGGTAGATTGGGGATTTCAAAATGTTTGTTTATTACTCTCCCCGGGAGGGACTCCATGGGGTCATGTCCATTGGATAGCTCCCCAGTACCCGCAGGAAGGAGGTGAACTCCTGCACCTCCGCTAGCGCGTTCTGCGCCCTCACGTCAGCCATTGATGCCTCGAAGTCCACATAGAACATGTACTCGAAATGCTTCGCCGTCCCGACGTTCTCGTCGTCGACTAGCCGGATTGGCCGGTTCCGGTGGGGGCGCGACTCGATCTTCGTCAGGCTGATGTTCCGGAAGGCGAAGGCGGAGAGGACCTTGAACAGCACGCTGGTCCCCTTGTCGTGAGCGAAGACGATGCTGGTTTTGAACGGCCGATCTGTTCTCGGGATGATTGGCTCCCGCGCTAGCATCACGAATCGGGTCACGTTGCTCGAGTCGTCCTGGATTCCTTCTTCCAGGATCTGGAGTCCGTACAGATCGGCGGCGCGTGCCGACGCGATTGCGGCTGTGTCGCGGAGGTTGTTGGCCGCGATGTACTCCGCCGCTCCCGCGGTGTCGTCCACGGCCTCGCGCGCGACGTTGAGGCCTAGTTTCGTCAGGGTGAGCTCGCACTGGGCCAGCGCTTGCGGATGGCTGATGACGCGCGTGAGGTACTCCTTGCGGACGCCGGGGAGAGCGAGAAGGCAGTGGTGGACGGGGAGCTGGACCTCGCCGACGATGTGGAGGCGGTGGCGGAGGAGGAGGTCGTAGTTCCGGTGAATTGAGCCGCCGAGAGAGTTTTCCACGGGGAGGACAGCGCGGTCCGCAATCCAAAGCTCCACCGCTTGAAAAGCCACTTCGAACTGGTCACAAGGTATGGCTTCACAGTTCGGATACGCCTTCCCGGCGGCCGCTTCGCTGTACGCGCCGGGGACACCCTGGTAGGCGACGCGAAGCTGGGAGCCATGCATCGGCGCAGGAGATAGATCTGCAATCGAAAGAGGCTTCGGAAGGCTGCTCTCGAGAGGGACCAGATCCAGAGTACCATGGCCGTTCACGGTGGTGATACCGCCGGCATCTCCGCCGCTCTTCTGAACATCCTGCTGCTGCGACACAACCTTACTTGCCAAAATGGCGCACGAGCTCTGCCAATCGGCACGCGTCGCGCCGACTTGACCGGCGAAATTTACGCTGGACGGCGCGGAGGCGGTGTTCAGGGCGGCGTTGACCGAGTCGAATCGGAAGGCGCATTGGACACGGAGCCGATTGGGAGCGAGCAGGCGGCGAGACAGAGAAGGCGGCCTGGTTAAGGACGCGAGACTCAAAGTGGAGGAAGAGGAAGAAGAAGCTAGGGATTGGATTTGCATAGTTGATGGAATTGAAGAGCTCAAAAAACTGGATGCTTAGATTCGAACCAAATGGGGGGAAAGGGAGGCTTGGAAGTTCTCTGAAGGAGAGAGGAACGTTCAAGCTGAGAGATAAGAGAGAAGGGAAAAGGGGTTATATAATGGTAGTTGGGAATGGAGGAGACTTTTCCATTGGTTTGGAGAAAAATTGCAATGGTAGTTCGATCTATCTCATACCTACCCCTCTCGCCGTCTCCCTCTCTCCCGTCTCTATCAACGGAGTATATGTGACAAGGGTTATGCGCTTCAAAATTAGGACTTCAAAATTTTTCATTCTCACCTTTAATTTACCTCACAAATTCAATGAAAATGAGTTTGAAGCCCCAAAAGCTTCAAACCTTCATTTTTTACATTTTTAAATATACATTTTCTAAATTTAAATTAATTTATTACAAGTATTTAAATTAATCGAAATGAGACTAGTACATTAAAAAAATTACATTCATTAAAAAAATATTACATTCATAAAGAAATATATTCATTAAAAAAATATTTCATCCATAAAAGAACAACACTACAAAGAAATTACTAATTATTCGAGCAATTGAAGATATGTTCGATAAAATCCGACATTAGTGCATTGTGAATCTCTCGGTTTCGAATTTCTTGGCGATTTATTCGTTTCTTTTCTTTGTCGATTTCTTCGTACATAGGCACCTCCTCGTCCGGGTTGTATTGATAAATCGCAGACTCGTTGTCATCTATGATCATATTATGAATATAATACATGTGTACATGATATTCCTCATTTTTGTTTGAAAAAAACATTTCGACGGTCGATCTAGAATGTGCCATTTAGCCTTCAAGACCCCGAAGGCACGTTCAATATCTTTTCTCGCCGCCTTGTAGCTTTTCTGTAGGTCTGGCGTTTAAGACTCATTGTTTCGAAGAGGGACTTGACAATCGTGGAATATTCTGGATATATTCCATCGGCCAAATAATATCCACGTTTGTAAAGCGTCCTTCTAAGCTCAAAAGACGAGTCGGGCGCGGTCTCATTAATCCAATCGTCAAAAAACAAACGATTGATCGAGAACGTTGATGTCGTTGTTCGAGCCTACAACACCAAAAAAAGCGTGTCAAAACCACAAGTCATTTGAAGCAACAGCTTCGAGCATGATACTAGGCTTGAGATGATCTCTCCAGGAGAATTGACCATGCCAGCCAGTGGGACAATTTTTCCATTCCCAATGCCTGCAATCAATACTCCCAAGCATGCCGACAAAGCCGTGTTTAGCGGCATGCCTTGCCTGTAACTATTCAATGGCGCTCGTTGTAGGCTTGCATAAATATCTTTTATGCAAAATTTGAATAATAGCTTTAGAAAATTTATAAGCACAGGACCTGATGCTCCGAGCCGCCATCTTCAAGTATTCGTCGAACATATCAGATGTTGTCCCGTACGCCATCTGACGGAGCGCTGCAGTGCACTTCTGGACACTATTAAACCCGCATCGGCCTCTCACATCAAAGTGTTGGGTGAACCAAGGCACCTCACGTTCAACATCAGCGAGTATGCGTAAAAAGAGAGGACGGCTCATCCGAAAACGATTACTAAAATCCTCCGGTGTATAAACACAGAGAGTATTAAAGTAGTCGTTGAGAAGCGAAGCATGGGCGGCCGCTCGATCCCGGTTTAAACGTTGTCGTCGGGTCCGGGTCCAGCGTCGGGAGGATTCGGCTTCTTCATTGCCTTGTTCCCACCATTGAACTCAACTCGTGGCGAAACAACGAAAAATGAGAGCTCTTTTTTCATTATCGGATGAAAATGATCTCATTTTTAAAATATATTTTATAAATATTTATAATAAATAATAAAATAATTGTTAGATTGAGATAGAATTGTAGAGAGAAGATAGTGAGAGATGTGTGAGAGATAGGTTTGTTTCGAGGGGAATTTAGGAGCCAAACCCCGACCTTAAACTTTACTCTTATACATATTGCATACATGGAAAAGTGTAGAAACTCTCGAAAGTCTCTAAGAACGGGTTCTGAGGTGATGGTGTAAATTAACATCCGGGAAAATTACTCTAGACCGAATCTAGAATGGTTTGCTGAGTTTAGAAACTAAGGAAACACATAAAACAAAAGTTTATCGGGAGGACTGTAGGTGGAAACACATGTAATCCAATTGTTATTAAGTATGTAGAATAGTACGGGGTAGTATTACCCAATATGCTCTAGAGAGATAAAGTTTCGATCCTTTTTATTGTAGAGTTTATGGGACAAGACAAAGAATTTCCACGTCGTCCCACATTCCTAGACGGTGCGAGGTGACTTCTCTTGTCACGTAATGTTTGTCCCACTCATTTTTCGACTTGTGCTGATGGCACCTCTCTTGGTGCTAGTGCTTGGACAAGAATATCTGAATATTCTCCACGATCTTCGGTCGTTACCGTCCAACCATGCTTGGATTATTCTTGCCGACACTTGTACATGCAAACTAGCCACCTAGTATGAGTCTCGAAAACTTGCCCGGGTGGTTTCCTGAAGAAACGTTTGATCACTCGAGGATCCCCGTGCAGTTTCATGCTAGTTGACTGGGTGTCCAATAGCCACCCTTGCTTGAAATCCACCCGGGTAAGGTACAGATCCACCCAAACAATCCTGTTGCATGGTACCTGGACTTTGCTTGGGTGGTCTTGGTTGAAACCCACTCGGGTAAGGTATAGATCCACCCAAACAACCCTGTCGCATGGTACCTGGACTTTGCTCATGTGGTCTTGGATGGGCCGATCCGAGCCATGGCCTGGATGGATTACACCCATCAAGAGGTAAGGCTTCAATTTTGAGATTAAAATAGCATTTTCCAGTGTGAGAAATGTTAGTCACAAACAAAATAACTATAAGATTAACAAATTTATTATTTCTTCTATCTTAAAATGTTCTTTACATTTCGGTTTCCGATGTTTGAATAAAACTATTTTTATATCAATTTATTCGATTATAAATATAAATTTTAAAGAATAAATTTATATATTTTCAGACTATATCTAAAGTCCTACAAAATAGGTATGAAAATAGGTAGAAAAATTATTAAAATTTGACTATGAACAATGACTAAAAAAAAGTTTTAGGACGGATGAAGTATTCGTGAACTTCATTAAGAAAAATCAAATAATATTAAATAATAAAAAATAATAGTAATTTATGCTCACAAATAATAAATTTGTAATTTTTGTGAATATTTTACATGTCACTCTAGCATTTCTCATATAGCTAACCTCTTTGTGCTATCTTGCATTTCTTTCATTCTTTATTACGGAGTAAATATTTCCTCCGTCCCATAAGGATGTTACAATTTAGACTTTTAAAAAATTTAACGGATGAATAATTTTGTGTTGAATTTCTAAAAGTACCCTTAATATGATGGGTAAAAAGTAAGATGTGATAGGTAGATTATTAATAAAAAAAATATGATATGATAGATATATTAAGAATTGGTAAGGATAAAAGTGGTTCTTTAATACAAAGGAAAAGGATATTTTGGAGAAGATAAAAGAGAATGAATTTTTGGGACGGAAAGAATATTTTTATAACTTTCATGATATATTAAAAGAAATATTTGCACTAAATAGAACTAAAAGTTAAGTCATTTTTTTAAATAGCACTTAAACGGTTTTATTCCTTAAATAGCATTTAATAATGTCCATGAGGAATAATGTCTAGTGATGGCGAACATATACTTGAATAATAACTAATGGATAATAAATAAATGTGCTACATTGGGAAAAACACAAATGATAATATTTAGGAAAAGTCGTTATGTTTTAATGCTATTTAAGTAAATTCTCCATATTAAAAAAGTTACATATTCTCTTTTTTTTGTAAAACAAAGAGTAAAAAAGTGCTTGTAACTTAAAAAGATCTACAAAAAATCGTACAGGCCTTAAGTCTATAAAAAAAATACTACTAAAAAACTAAAAGATCTACAAAAAGTACATGTAATTTCACTTCAGCACACTCGTGTGTTGAGTTTGAGTCTTAGACAGAATAATAAATACTTCCTTGGCATATTCCCTCATTAAAACCTTATTTGTTATTTATAAAATAAAAAACCTTATTCTGTTTCACGGACAACGGAAATAACGTGCTTGGTAGTAGTGTATGGATGTGGTGTACTTAGAGAGAGAGAGAGAGCATTGATTTGAAACTTAATCGTTTATGCTTAAGAATTTTGAAAATTTTACTCCGTATTTCAATATACTACTCCATCCGTCCCAATTTATAGTGCATGTTTCGATTTATGATGTTAACTGAAATTATTTTTCAAATCATTTTATATGACAAATGGTATAGAGTTGAAAAATAAAAATTACATTTTCAAATACTATATCAAAATATCTACAACACTAGTAGTGACAATAATATTTTATTTTATCAAATTGCTAACCAGAATAGATAAAGAAAGTAAATAAAATTTAACCTTGTGAATAGTGAACATGCACTATAAATTGGGACGGAAAAAATAAAGTGCGATACAAATTGAGAGTAATTGAAACTTCAATTTTGTCTAAATTGACACAAAAAAAAAACAAATTGAATAAATACACTGAGACGGAAATAGTACAAAATAATAATATGTCCTTTCTGTCGTAAAGAGATTTAAGTGTACTCCATAGTTTCGTATTTGTCAAATTCCTACAGCTCCTCCTCTCAAAAGTCAAAAGATGATAAGAGATGAGAAATGACAACCAAAGTTAAGAAAATACAATATGCCCCATGGCAAGCCCAAGTAAAAATCCCAAAATCCGCACTAAACTAAGGCAGTAAACACAACTTAGACACTCATCTCACGACCTAGGGTAGAACACCAACCCCGGCATGATTAAATGTATATAAAGCATAAAAGAAAGCAATGAATGAAGCAAATAAACTGAAAGCATGAAAAGGGTTCAAGAAAATGGAATCTGAACTCTAAAAACAAAATCTAAGGTTAAAGAAATGACATTAAAGGGTTGAAACTCCCTACAAGAGCAAAGCTACAATGAAAGAAATGCTTATATTTAAGGCTAATCTAGGGCTATTTTCATATGGGGAGCTCGAGAAATGAATTTCATAAACTCCATTTAATAATTGTGTGCTATAAATTGCCAANAAGTCCATAAACCCCCCCCCCCCCCTTAATCATCACACATTAGTTAAACGCTCCCAAGAAACAGACATTGATCCCTCTAGTGTAGTCTAAACACATTTAGTAAAAAGAAAATGTTTCAGTGCAATTAATTAACTGAGTATCTTCTCACACTCTTGAGGCTAGAAATTCGTTTCCGATGGTTACGGCCCTGTCGGTGTTGCTCCCACTCGTGAGCACCTCTGAGCACCTTATTACCGCATGCCTAGATAAAAGTGTTCATCAACACGAATTCTCACAACCAGAAGCAGTCATTTGCTTGTAGTTCATGCAGACAGTCATCGACTAAAAAAGAAATAAGATAATGCAGTAATAACATATTTTAAACACTACTGACCTCACAAACAAATTGACTCCATTGATCTGTTTGGTTTAGTTTTATGTCTTTAATGTTAGCTCTGGTACTCTCCAAGTACAATTCTCCATTGAGAAAGGATTTTATGATTGCGACGGCTGGCTCAACCACTTCTGCTGCCCAAATCTCATCAGAAGCCGCTACAAAAAAGACCACATCATTTGAATTGAGATATAAAAGTTTTAAAAAACACAATTTCTCAAGAAAGAAGACCACATCAACCCTCCTTTCAACCTACTCTTATATCCCATGCCATTTTTGCATCGGAAGATCATTTTGAGATGGAGGGAGTAAAAGATAAGTTAGTTTAAAATAGTTTAGAAAAAACGAGGTTTAAAATAGAACTACATACAACAACTCCTTAGCTTATTTGAAAAGGTATTCCATGGAGCTTATTAAATGAGCAGAAGCTTATAAAACAAGTTACCTCAACAAAAGAAAGCATATTTGAAAAGCTTTCTTTTAAAAACTAACATCAAGCTTATATTGTGCCATTAATAGTCTAAATATATGAATTTGCATGGACAAAATGAGAGCAAGATAAATGTATACCCAAAATGTAACGGGTAACATCAATGCAGTGAATTTCCCATCCAAAAAGCATTTGCAGGCGTTGGATTCTTCTCCTCTGTGTACAAAAACATCATCAACCACAGAAGATTAAATTGGACCTGCGGTCCCAAAATTTTCAAAAGACAAATCTAACTCTTTTTGCTAGTTTACTAGCAGTAAGTTTGATTTTCCTTACTTGGCGGCGAACTAGCCTTCTGGTGTTCAATTTCACTCTGTCAATAGCTTCAATCAAAAGAACTTTTCCCTTGTCATCACCAGGGCCATATCGAATATTGTGTACAGTTTGTTTAAAAGTATCGATACTCCACAATTGAGAGAGGGATGCATCACTAGAATTTTTATGTGCATACAAGCAGTGTGTCAAAAAATCATTAAATTCCCGAACACCAATAGCTTGTCGAAAGCCTTTTGTGTAGTCTGCATCTGTCCGGTAAATGTCAAAAACTTCATCAAGCAGACCAGATTCAATCATGTGATCAACCCTTTTATCAACAAAAAGGTCCAATGCCGATAGAGATGCATCCACGCATATAAAACAGATGTTAAATCTTGAATTATCAACCTGACCCCAGTTCTGTCCTGCCAGGTGCAAGATGTAACACCATGAGCATGATATAAAATCTCAAATCATTTCATTCTATTCATACCAGTTAGTATGATAATGTCAAAAATTATAATGAGTTCTGAAAGCTTATTTATTTGACGAAGCCTTTGTTTGGCTTAAGAAAGAAATAAAGAAGAGAGAAATGGGTGAGATAGAGATGGAGAAAAAAAAGAAAGAATTGATAAAAATGAATAGAAATGGATGGAAATCGAAAAGAAATGAATTTCTATCCTTTTTCTCTCTGAAGAAAAAGAAACGTAAAACAATGATATGGCATTTCATCTCAACTTCATTCCTTTCCATTCGCCTCCTACCCAAACCAGAGACTGCATTTCTCTCTGCCTAGCTTCTTCCCTTCCTATTTATCCCAACCAAACAAAGACTAGAAGAACAAAGTTCAGCTGTAAAAAAATTACTAGACGAACTCCTTAAGTTTTAACTTAAAAATTAGCATCGAATAACTGGAAGGATTGATTCAGCCAAACTGAATACTCCGTGGATACAGTGCCAAAGCTTTCAAGCAATATAACACCATATGGACAAGTGCCAGAAACAGCAATTTTTTTGCTTGAATTCAACTGCTGCTTTTAATCCGTAAAAAAATTATGATTAGAATAAACAACTGAACATGCCTTTGCTGTATTTTCTCGTAGAACTTTACTTGGAGGGACACCAAATCGTGCATACAAGTTAAGGTATTGATGGACCTACAAAACAAAAAGTTGCAAGTAGTATAGAACTAGTGAAAAGTGCAAGCATATTGCATTGGAAAGTGGAAACGTGTAAATCCAATGCCTTTGCTTTTCACATTTTAAAGAACAGCTTTTCATACAATGGAAAAGTGGATGACATCATGTAGTGGATCAAAGTAAAGCTAAAAGGTAAGTTCAAATTAAGGAGAGAAAACCATAAGGAGCACTGTAGCTCCTTGCATCTTGATGATGCATGCTCACTATCTAACCCTTATGCTCACAAGTCTACCACGGTCTTCCTCTATGTCCATGCTCACTGAGCATGTGCTCACTATATGTACTCACTACATGTACTAAGGAGGTGCTCCTAATAAGACACTAATTACTTCAAAACTATTGAGGCTGAAATTTATCAATGAGTGATGGACAGCCTAAGATAAAGCCCAAAATTTGAGTATACACCAAATATTTAGGAAATGACAAGGCTTCATTTAACCAATATAAAAAAATTGCATTGTGCAGTTGTGGTAGAAGTTTGGTTGGATTGCACATTATGCAAGCCTCAGCATAAGCCTTAGTTTGAGATGCAAATTTGTACAGAGTATACAATAATTACAAAATATATTACAAGGTTGTACAATTAAAATCATAGAGTATTCATTAAGCTTCAACAAAATTTGTGCTCAAATCCAACAAGATCATAATCCTTCACAGCAATAAATTCAAGCATAACATAATATCAACTGTTGTGTAATTGAAAAGAAGTTTAAATTGCATTAGATTACAACAACAAACCCAAAATAATCCCAACTTTGTAGGGGTTTGGAGTGCCAAGATGTAAGCACTATAGAAAACAGGGAGGCTGTTTTACCACCCAAACTTCATAGAAAGTAAGAAACAAGGGAAGCTTATTAAGCATAAATGGCGTAGCTCAAATGGTGTAAGCCTTCTTATTGCTGGTTTCCTTTATCATAAGGGCACATTTTGCCTAAAATTTGATGAGGTGGACCTCATTGCCTCATTGCGCAAAGGCATTGCACAATTTTAGACTTTGCATTTAACTTAAATACACAAATTGAAAAGCAAAAGGACTACATCAAGGCAACCGAACGAATAGGCTTAAGCCACATTCCTAACACCACTATTACATGCACACGTCAAATACCACTCTAAATAAGCCTAAAGACATTTTGAATGCCTTGATGGATCATATAAAAAGAAATTTCTCTTTCAAATTGAGTTTAGCATCAAAGTTACAAAAAATGTGATTTGAGAATCACCTTCCTATTATCATTTGGATGAATTCGACAGCCAACAATGGGATCAATTGCTTTAAGATAATCATAATTATAACAAATATTCTCTCGCTCAATTTCGAGTCCAAGATTGAGTTTCTCATTTTCTGCAATAAGAGGAAGATACACATTCAAATTTAACAAGCCATGAACAAAGTTTCATACTGATCAAGATGGATAGTTGGTAAAGATTCTCAAGCAACAAGTCTTTTACCAATCGTATCCAGTGAACAATTGACTTCTATATCTTCAGCGGCTACATCCAAAAGGAATGGACTAACAAGTGCCTGGTAGTAAATGAGTAGTGTAGAATATGGAATAGTTATTAGAACGACTTAGTAGGCAATTGACAAAATACAACATGACACTACCAAAATTTATGTTTTTAACTACTTTAGAACTCTCTCTGTCCGCCATAGATCTTCCCACACTATTCACAGGGTCAAACTTAACGCACTTTATTTACCTATTTTTACCACTCATTTCATAAAATAATATAGTCTTATCATCTCTAGTTTTGTAGAACATTTGATGCACTTTTTTACTATATAAATTTTATTTTTAAATTTAATCCTTACCATCAAAAAAATTGAATTGAAAGTAAAGTCGATCAAGCCTCGTAACACGTAATGAGATCTTTAATGGATGGAGGGAGTATATATTATCTTAATGTGCGTGTGGGAGGGCTAAAGTTAGACCAAATCTTACACCGGTTATATTTTCCAGCTGGATTGGTTTTAAGCAAAACCCTTCGTAGGATTGAAAGTTACTTTAATTATTAATAGAACAAAGTCAACGTAATAAAATGTATGAAAATGTGGGAACTGATTGGCATGATTCAGTTTAAAATGATAATGCATTGTGGTACAATATATGAAGATTATGTATGTATTAGTAAATCCTACAATGGCTTTGCCTGAAAGCAATCTTTTAGGATATAAAAGCCTTTCTTGCCTATAACACGAATGTAAGAATTGGTGTACAAAATTGGTGTAACATAACACAATTTACACGAGTACCTACACATATAAAATAACAAACCCAGTCAAATCCCATAAAAGTATGGTCTGGAGGGTGAGGGTATGCAGACGTTACCCCCACTAAGAAGTAGAGAGGTAATTTTCAGCTCAAGCACATACAAAGTAAACCGACTAAGTAGGGCTGTCAATGGATAACTAAAGAGCAAGCTAAGAGCAAAGTAAGCGCATAGAGGGACTAGAGACATGAAGCACACAAACCGACACTAGCCAACACTAGCAAATAACAATGGTGCTTTGGGTGAAAAATGAGAATTGATACAGTGCATGAGATTTCACATCTAAGGACTGTGATGAACTAAAATTCTAAGGATATATTTAAATACACCTTGGTTCCCATGACATTGGGAACCAATGTCATGGGATGACCCGGGGGCGCTCCGGTGCCCCGTTCGTAAAATTGACGTTTCCTAACCCCCTAACCCCCCGGTAAACCCCCCCACCCCGCCCCGACCCGAACACACCCCCCACCCCCCTTCAATTGCACCCCAAAGTCAAAATCAACTTGTGGGGTGCAATTGAAGGGGGGTGGGGAGTGTGTTTGGGTCGGGAAGGGGTGGGGGGTTTACCGGGGGGGTTGGGGGGCTAGGAACCGTCAATTTTACGAACGGGGCACCGGAGCGCCACCGGGTCATCCCGAACCAATGTCATGGGAACCTTCCCCATTTAAATATTGGGGTGGCATATTCGAAAATAAACTAAAATTTTCACCCACCTCTCAAAGATCAAGAGAGAATGGATAAAAATGGATCTAAACAGCAACAAACCAAAGTCGCACATAAGGCTGTCGATGGATAACTAAAAATTTTATTACCGTCTGCATATGTATCCGTTTAAACTGGAATAATCCCCATCCGTTTTAAACGAATATTACCCGTATGGCTGTATCCCATTATGGACATCCAATTACAAAACGGATACAGATTTGGCAATTGTATATCCCATCCGTTTAAAATCCAATTCAGATATACATCTGTATAACCATTTATCTGAATATCCGTTTATCCGAGTTCCAATTAAAATTATTTTAATAAATATAATCCTCTAACCAGACCATTATACATTTATACTTGGCCTACATATCCAAAATATACCATGCCCTCTAAGCCTCTAACCTTAGTGTCTTACCATTTCTTCTATAAAGTACTTGGTCAATTATGAATTTATATTTTTGTTCGAATCATTTGTTTTGGTTAAGTATTTACTATTTAGACAACTGTTTTTTACATATTCGACGTTGTTTAGCATTGTGGATTTTGATGTTCACTTTCACTTTCCTTCTATAATCATTTGAATTTTTTATTAACAATTTCGGATAATCGGGAATATTCTGAAAATCAGATCGGACGTCGAACTGAAGTAGCAAGTGGGTCAAGGGTCAACAAGTCGAACCTGGTTGACTTAGGTCAACCGTCCCATAGCTTGGTATAAAATATTCATACTTATGTTTAAGTAGAAAAACTTTTGCCCAGTTTTTTGAACTACTTTTAAATATAATAAAATATTATCACATAACATAAGTATGCCTATAATTATAAATAATACAAAGTTTATTAAAAGAAAAAATACAAAGCATTACAATTAGATGTAAATTATTTGGTTAAAAAAATTAGAACACGGCATATATTAAGAAACAAATATATATTATGTACTACTTACAAATACCAAGCGTTTGATTTAGCCTAGATGGCTTATGGCTATAACCTTGAATTTTAAGGTTTGAGGTGTTGGGTTCGAATCCCTCTACCCCCATTTTACATTTTTGTTTCCTTTGAACACTTTCATATTCGGAGGGATTCAAATATTTGGTCGGTTTTGGATGTGTAATTGGATCCAGATATATCTGAAATCGGGAATTACCCTTCGGTTACGGATTCGGATATAGAAATGTAAATATTCGTCAGATATGGATACGGGTTCGGATTTCTCAAATCTTAATCAGATTCGGACTAAGATATGCCATATTCGCTGCAGATATTATCCGTTTACAGCCCCTAGTCCCATAGAAGCATGGTTTGGGATGGGTGTGTGTGAGTTTGCCAACTCTGCCTACACTTGAATGTTGAGAGATTGTTTCCAAGAGAAGCACAAACATAATAGAGTAAAAGAGTAAACACAGTATCATACATATAGATACTAGCAACGAGACCCATAAGTATCATTAAAAACTGTTTAGAGTTTTCATATGAAGATGTGACATACATACATACATGCATGCATGCATGCATACATACATACATACATACATACATACATACATACATACATACATACATACCTACCTACCTACATACCTACCTACCTACCTACATACATACATACATGTGTGTGTGCATATCTCTATAAGTGTGGAACGCAAAAATGTAAAAGACATAGGGGTCTCATAAGCAAAAGTTTCTCCATTCTCATATCCTAGATGATATAAACACAAGTACAATTTTCATAGTTAATTGACTTTATGAACTACGAAGTACAATTTTAAGAAAAGGCAACACCGACCTGTATATAGTAATTTGTTCCACCAACAATGACAGGCAAGAACTTGCGAGATGATATTTCATGAATGAGCTGGAAATCCAAAATACAAATGTGTTGGTATATCATACAAAAAGACCTCAAGAGTTCATTAATCACAATTCTCTAAAGTAAAATCATCTCTAATAGGGAAATCAAACAAAGTGAGGTTGCAGCTTCACACACGTCACGAACTATTAAATAACATGAGCAAGTGGCTTGTAAGAGGATAGTAGATTAGTAGAGAGTAAATTCCCAAAAAGGTCCTTTGTAATAAGGTATTTTCCCTATCTACCTACGTGGTCCTTTATAATTGAAATTTATTCCTTGAGTAGTCCTTCGTAAATAATGTTACTCAAATGATGATTAATTAAAAGGTATTGTGGTATTTCTATCATCTAAATTTAAAGTATATTCTCGAATTGGTAAATTCTATACAATTAAATTTAATATTAAAAAAAATTCATTGACTACGCATAACCTATGAATTACTAAAAGCCTTAAAAAAGCATTTAAAATTCGAATAAAATACATATCTTTAATTAGAAAAAAATATTTTGGGAAAGCACTTCATTAGAAAAGATCATTTTAAGAACTCATTCTAAATTTAGCTGATAAAAAAATACCAAAATAACCCCCAATTAATCGTCATTTGAGTAAAATTATTTACGAAGGACTATCTCGGGAATAAATTTCAATTATAAAGTACCACATAGGTAGTTAAAAAATATTGAGGACTAATTTGGGAAAACATCTTAATACAAAGGACTATTTTGGGATTTTACTTATTAGTAGACGAGAATTCGCTAGTGTCGGACATATTAGCTCTAGCAAACTAATGGTTGTTATGTCAAAAAACAAATAATGGCTTATAATGTAAAATGAAGCATTTTGATACGTGGTTAATAGCTAGCAAACAGTGTATTAAGTTGTCAGCTCAGAAACCACTTCTTAAAAAATAACTTGCGCCTAAAGCCCTCTATTTGTAAAAACAATAAAAACATTTATGGAAACATCAGCCTCTATTGGCTAAAACAATAGACACTTTAAATGGAACCAACAATAAGTGTTCTCTCTTGAGGCTATTGGAGCATGTTTTTTCATCCATAGTTGTCAAGGTGTCACCTAGGCATCCTGACACCCTTCTACTCTCGCCATGGGAGCTCACCTTCGCCTTATTTTGCATACCTCACCTTGGATCGCCTAATTCAGTGCTTTATAGTTCTTTATTTATTTATATTTTCTTTACTCCAGTGCTATATTTTTTTAAGTGTTTTATTGCCCCGACTCCAGTGCTTTATTTTTTAATGCTTTATAAATTAGATTATTTTCAATTTGATATTTTTTCTACTTTATCTTCATAATTAATACCTAGTGCTTAACTTTTTCAAATGTTAAATGATTAAGTCGGTAAAGCTATTTTTCAACATTGGTTTTTTTAGGAAAGTACCTAAAAGTAACTTTGGTTGTTAAACTTTATTGTATTAGATAAATTTAAACTTTATCAACTACAATATATAATGTGATATATTTATATTAGTGTATAGTGTATAGATATTCTCCTATATTAGCCTAATTGTTGCCTAGTCGACTAGGCGTCCTGGCGATACCCCAGCGCCGCAGCTCAACTTGGCTTGGTGACAACTATGTTTTCATCACTATGTAAATTGCATAATTGGCTAACAGCTCAAGCTCAACCCCAAATCAACCAGATCAGCTATATGAACCAATAGAAAATTTCCTGAGGCCATCCACCATAGTAGTGGGGAAAATAAAAGAAAATAAAAACATCAAAATTTTAATTGCATAATAAGAATTCATACCAAAAAAATATGAATTTTGAATCAAAACTTAAAGTAGTCACATGTATTGGCAAACTTCACATACAATCACTTACTGGAATAGCATGGTCACAAAAATCCCTTGCTGTAAATTCTACATTTGAGCTTAGAGTACCAACCAGATGATGTGCCACACCTATCCCCGAGCAAGCAAAATAAAAAACAAAAACATCAAAATGTACAGATCAGGTATCTCAAGCACATAGAACTACACAAGCATGGAGAGGAAATATAAGTTTGTAAAAAGGAGAAGACTTGTAAGAACGAATATTCCTCCCTTTTAAGTAGAATTATATTTTTTCAAATACATACAATTATGCTAAAAACTAACAAAAAGTTATCAAACATGTGATACATTCCCCCATTTTTTCCACAGTATGTGGTCATACGACACCAATCCGTAGGCATCATCATATGTTTTATTCCACTTGCATGTAGCATGTTCCAATGAGCTGATGTCACATTACAAGGTTGAAATATCATTTATCATAAAACAGAAATGAAGAAATAAGAAATTTCAAGCATCTTCTGCGGGAAACATGAGGAAGGGAACAAGGAAGCACCTTTCTGCTCTTCGGGACGAACTTTATTGGTCAGAACATCTAATCCTCTATAAACCTATAGATTCATGAAGGAGCATTCTTTAAGCATGAAACTATATATGCTAATAATGGACCTCCTTTATATACAAACAATCGCAAACCTGCATGGAATCAGCATTTATGGCTTCAATCGGGAAGTGGGACGCAAGGTCAATTGCGAGTTTGGATTTTCCGGCCCCTGTTGCGCCCATTATCACTATCACCTTAGGCTTCGAATTTGAAATTGGAATGTGACTCCAGTTCGGACTTGTGTCGTCTTCTATGGAACACATATTAGGGATCAGGGTCGTATTCGCGGTGGGAAATTTAGGGTTTTGCTACACCACTTCGTTGCGATTTTGAATCTTGGGAATTTCAAAGTAGTCGTCCGGACTCTGTATGTTTGAAGTTTAATAACAGGTGGGTTCCAACAAAGGTTGTACCCATCTTGGTTAAAATCAGGAAATTATTTATAATATAGATTTTATTATACATGAGAATGAACACTACATTATTTGTAGGTGAATATTATAATTATATTGAATCAATGTGTGAATATGAGTGTTGCATTACTTTAGAATGAGTATCACACTAATTATATTTGTGCGAGAATGAGTATTATTCTACTTCAAAATGAGTACTAGCCGGGATGTACTTATCTCTTGATACATCCAGTTGTCCTTCTCCAACAACGCTAGCATTTAAAGTTGCTTGTTAGGACAAATTATATTATACAACAGGTTGTACTCAAAATTGTGTACCGCTGCTAAAACGAAAGAGAAAGAAGAGTTGTGTCGACGAAATCAAAGAGGTGATGGAGGACGACGAAAATCGAAGGGGTGCTCTGTAAGTTAGTCAGATCAAGGTGAAAGAGAGGCACACCGACGGTGACGACAACGACAAAGGAGAGCTGTTATCGATTGAGAAAGGGGAGGTGCTCGGTCGATCGAGGAAGAAAGCTGATCGAGGAGAGGCGCGGGGATAAAAACAAATGTGTGGTCGGGTTGGGGTGGGAGAGAAAAAAGTTATTTATGGTATGAATTTTATTTTGTTTGAATATGAACACTAAGTTATTTGTTATTTGAGAATGATAACAACTTTGTTTCTAAATAAACACTACGTTATTTATAAATGACTATTATAATTGTATTGAACAAATGTATGAAAAACCTTTTGATTGAGCTCTCAATCTCAAAGGGCTGTGTGCGCATATATGAAGCTGGGAGGGTCTGTTCTTGTTTTCTATTGTGTAATGACCCTAGTCTAGCCTCTTTGTAATATGGGGATTGCTATCCCTTATTTTGTTTACCATATTGTACTTGGATTGAGGTGTTAATATATTTTGCATTTTGTTAAAAAAAAAAATGAGTACTACACTATTTTAAAATTAACATTTATATTTGTGCGGGAATGAATACTACTTTATTTCAGAATGGGTGCTATCCTGATGTACATATCTCTAAGTACAACTGGCTGTATCATATACCTTCTCATGTTTTTCCGGTATTTAATCTATTATTTTCTTTTTATTACTCCAAATTTATTTTTATTATGATCAAACAAGATCATGTCTAATCAAACCGGTTTCTATCTAATCAGATCAATTTAGAAAATTGATTTAAAAATTGTGTCTATTCACAAAATTAAACTTTATTTACTTTTTTTCTTTATTTCCGTTACTCACTTGATAAAGTTGTAAGGTTTTATCATGTCTTGTTTCGTATAATTTTTTATGTAATTTTTAAAATGTAAAACTTGTTTTTTTAATTATACCATATTTTTCAAATAAAGTATATTTAAAATAATTTTAGTCAAGTATCGTAAATTAAAACATGTGCTTTAAATTTAGACGGGAGAAGTAATTATTACTATTAAAATTTTGTGTTCCGTATACAATCAAATAATAATAGTGCTACATATGATTAAATAATACTCCCTCCGTCCCGTGAAACATGGAACATTTGCTTTTTAGGAGTGATTTAAGAGTAGTGTATTTTGGTATTTAATTTCCAATAATGTCCTTTGATGTGATGGGTAAAAGTATGATTTGATGGATAGATTATTAGTAAAAAAGTATGATGTGATAGATAGGGTATGAAAAAGTAAAGGGTAAAATGACTTTTTAATAGAAATGAGAAGTGTTTTGTGGGACGGATGAAAAAAGAAAGGAGAAAGGTTTTATGGGACGGAGGGAGTAGTAATTTGTGAAAAGTAAATTTGTATAATTAATATTGATGTTGAAAAATAAGATAAACTAAGAATATTTGTGAATCACGTAAATATGACTAAATATGAAATGAAAAAATAACAAGATATACAAAAAGGTAAAATGGGACAAAAAAGTGTGATGGATGGAGTACTTGCTATTAATATTGTTGTTGTTCTTATAGTTATTTTAGCAGCAGCAACAACAACAATAATAATGTCTCTCCGTCATGTGAAAAGATGTTCATTGTGTCTTCACGTAGATTAAAAATGTAGAAACCACTCTATTCTTAAAAGTAGAGGAATTATTTTCCTGCTCAATACACTCGTCTCCTGCACTGTTGATATAAAGGAACAAAGAAGATCTGCGACTATGATTGGTTATGTAATATTACCTGTTTAGAAAGATAAGTTAAAGAAAATTTTGCCTAAATCAATGTTAGGAAACAAATGCACAGCGCGTGACCGAAAAGGAAGCTAGGTAACTAATATGTTGACCAATTAAATTGATTGCTTGACCCTAATCAATTTAGGTAACTAATATAGCAATTACTTGATTGTGATAAAAAGGGAAGAGACGAACTAATTATTTGATTTTGTTTCCTTTTTGCCTAATATATTTCTAAAAAAGAAACAAAACATAAAAAATCTTATTGATACAAACTTCTGTTTAGATACCGATTTTTTTATAAAATTGGAAGTGATATAATAAAAAAATTTATTACCATTCAACTAAAAATAATATTTGTCCATAAAAGGTAATAATGTGACATTAAGATGTAAATTCATTAATTAATTTATTTATGAATTAATTACTTGATTTTGTTTCCTTTCCGCCTAATAGATTTTATAGTATGAAAACAAAATATAAAAAATCTTATTTATATAAACTTCTGTTTAGATACCGATTTTTTTATAAAATTGGAAGTGATACAAAAAAAATTATTACCATTCAACTAAAAATAATATTTGTCCATAAAAGGTAATAATGTCACGTTAAGATGTAAATTTATTAATTAATTAATTTATGAATTAATTACTTGATTTTGTTTCCTTTTCTCCAAATAAATTTCTAAAAAGGAAACAAAATATAAAAAATCTTATTTATATAAAAAATACTATTCTTAAAAGCAGGGGAAATCTTGCCGAGACAATTTCCCTCCAAAATGCACACATCCATGAGTCGTCGATCTTTGAAGATTTCATCATCTACGGTTGATATACGACAATCTAAAAAAGGTAAGAATTTCATGATATATTATTACATAGGTACTATTAAAAAACGAAATAAATACAAAATGGTAAGAATTAAAAAAGGAAATCAGAAGCAAAGGTTGCGTTATATTGTTTTATTCTAATCCCATACTTGCATTAATTTTTTTTAATTTTTTAAATTCCTAAATATGAAATACTATTCTTAAAAGCAGGGGAAATCTTGCCGAGACAATTTCCCTCCAAAATGCACACATCCATGACTCGTCGATCTTTGAAGATTTCATCATCTACAGTTGATATACGACAATCTAAAAAAGGTAAGAATTTCATGATATATTATTACATAGGTACTATTAAAAAACGAAATAAATACAAAATGGTAAGAATTAAAAAAGGAAATCAGAAGCAAAGGTTGCGTTATATTGTTTTATTCTAATCCCATATTTGCATTAATTTTTTTTAATTTTTTAAATTCCTAAATATGAAAATAAATAAATTTAATTTTACTACTGAAATAATTAAAAAAATATTAATGGTATTGCGTTAAAAGTTTTGTATCATGAACAGATAAAAATCTAATATATTACATTTAAAAGTTTTTATACATAATATTACATTACTATTTATAAAAAATAATACTAATTATTGTTGGAATGCATGAATTCAACCCTTTCTGTGTTATTAAGTGTTGACTCACAAGTTTTGATAATTGACAAACACACTTTATTCAAATCAAGATCAAAGTGCTACAAAGACACACACGAAGACTTGAAGTGTCATTCCTTGAAATATTCAAGAAGGTGCACAGGATTTTATTGGAGTCCGAGACACGTTCGGAGCGCCTAACAGAGGACTCGGAGGAGTAGAAGATTTCCGAAGACTTTTTTATTTATTTGAGTCTTAGGAATAATTGTAAGGATGACAAAAATATCTTCTCTCCAAAATTATTTTTATGAGAGTTAATATAAAAATAATATATATTTGGGGTCAGTTGAAAAATCCTTTTAACTGTTTAAAATACATTCATTGAGTCAGTTACAAAAGGTGTGTCAAACATTTGTCAAAATATTTATTCTGATATTAGAAAATATTTTTGGAAAGCAAAAATATTTTATTCAAAAATTTTCATGTTCATCGTTTGACACACAAAATATTTTTTTGGGATTCATTTTCTACACCAAAAATATATTCTCATAATTCAAATTTTGAATTTGAATTATGAATGTTGATTGGGGAGCCCATTGACATATTTTTATGTCCTAAACAAGTGCTTAAATCCAAATTAGTACTTCACCCCGCACACATGATTGTGTCCTTCATGTTTGGGCACAATTGCTTCAAAAATCGATTTTTACACTTTGGGAAAAATCGATTTTCATTTCTTCTACTGAAGGAATTTTGCTCAGAAGCAAAAAATCGATTAATTGGGTAGAAAAATCGATTTTTTGTGTTAAAATTGAGCAAACCCTTTTTTCTCAGCTCCAACGGACATATTCCTTTAACCCCTTTATAAACTTCATTCCTTGGTCATTTTTTCATTGAACAAGCACTCCAAAACTCCCCTATCTTGAGGTTATAATCCCTCATTCATTTCTTTCTCAAATTAATATATTTTGAGAGAAAACTATTTGTTTTTGAAGAAAGTGTTCTTGTCATCCATAGGGCTTAATCTTTTCTCATTTCTACTCTTGTGATAGTTATTGTTGTGAGGATGGAAAAGGTTATTCTTTTTATTGTATAAGACTTATGTGACTTAAGTTTTGAGTGTGAAGTCTTGTAGAGGAACATCTACAAGCATTTGTATTGAGGCTTGTGAAATTCAAGTTCTCGGTTTGTAAAAACGGTTTGTTAAGCACCCGTAAGCTTAACGGAAGTAGTGGTATCTTCGAAAGAGTCTCTCGGGGAACTGGACTAGCCACGAGGTGGTGAACCAGTATACATCGGTGTGTTCTTTGCAGTGGCGGAGCCAGGGAAGACTTCATGGGGGGCACAAATTTATCAAACCAAACACTCTGAAACCAAACACTTTGAAACCATCTTTTTTACCAATGGTCGACAAGGACCTTTTGCTAATACTTATCTTCTCCTTATGACATCCCTAATTTCCAACAGATAACTATTGATTGGTTTTCTTAATCCCGGATCAGCAACAATATTGTTAGACAGTCATAGGACTCCTAGTTGTGGTTGTTTTAGTTATCATAGTTGTTGTATCCTAGTCACCTTCTATTTTCCTATTCCTAGTCTATATAGGACTTACTCCTATAAATACTCTGGATTGTATTCATTCTCTGTGTGTGAAATATATTGTTTGTCTATATTCTATCATGGTATCGGAGCTCAGATATTCTCCCAAACTCTAGGCCTTGACGCCGTTTCTTTCTCTTTCTCGGCTTCACAGCCATCCTCCTCTTACNTCATCTCCGCCATGATATTGATCACAAGCTTCAACCCCGTTCAAAACGTTGTGTCTTCCTGGGCTATGAGTCATTATCCAAAGGGTATCGTTGCTATGATCCCACCACTTCACGTATATATATCTCTCGCCATGTCCAGTTTAATGAGTCTGAATTTCCCTATTCCACCCACTCGAGTTCATCCACCCCCTCCTCTTCCTACTTTGGTGTCGTTCCTCTTTTCCCTACATCTCCCGTGGTCCCTATGCCTACTCCCATGCATCCCTTAACTCTCACTTTGCCTAATCCCCTGCCCAGAACCCCATCCCATACTCCCGTGCCAACACCGTCACCCACAACCCCCGCAACTGCCCATACTTCACCTCCATCCTCAACCCAAACTTCTCCCTTGTCCTCACCTACAATATCTCCCCATACCACTCCACCCAGTAGTCCGTCCCCCCTCCTTTACCACGTCCCCCCACCCACCATATGATCACTCGTGCTAAAAGTGGCATCTCTAAACCCAAGCTCTTCTCTACCACTCTTATCACCACACCACCTGCAGATGAGCCTAGTACCTATCGCGAGGCCTCCAAAAATATTTTTTGGCGACGAGCAATGGATGAGGAGTATGCTGCCTTGATTAAACAGAATACATGGGTTCTTGTTCCTCGACCTTTGGGTCGACTCCGATTGGTTGCAAGTGGGTATACAGGATCAAGCGCCATGCAGATGGTACCATTGAACGCTATAAGGCACGCCTTGTTGCCAAGGGCTACAATCAAGAATATGGCTTGGATTATTCTGACACCTTTAGTCCTGTGGTAAAGCAACAAACTATCCGACTGGTGTTCTCTCTGGCTTTACACTATCAATGGCCTCTTCGTCAACTTGATGTGTCCAATGCTTTCTTACATGGTGAGCTTGATACAGATATTTACATGGATCAACCTCCAGGTTATGTGGATCCCTCTTTTCCAAATTATGTGTGTCAGCTCTCTAAGTCTCTATATGGGTTGAAACAAGCCCCTCGGGCCTGGTATTTACGCCTGTCTGCTTTTCTCCATGCGTATGGCTTCCGCAAAAATGTCCACGACACCAGCCTGTTCCTCATGCATAGCTCTCAAGGTATTCTGATTTTACTTGTCTATGTGGATGATGTTATTGTCACCGGCAGTTCAGAGTGTCTTGTTCAGACCTTCATTGATCGCATGTGTCAAGAGTTCAAGACCAAGGACCTTGGTCCCCTCCATTATTTTCTTGGCTTGGAGGTTCAACGTACTACATCAACCATCCTTGTGTCTCAACAGAAGTATGCCCTCGAACTTCTTCAACGGGCAGGAATGACAGACTGTAAGCCGACTGCCACCCCACTTCCTGTTCGGCCAGCAGTCACCGAGGGGGGATCTTCACCGCCGTTCCCTGATGCTTCTTTATTCCGTAGCCTTGTTGGCGGCCTTCAATATCTTACCACTACAAGGCCTGATATTCAGTTTGCTGTAAACTACGTCTGTCAGCGAATGCACGCCCCTACAGAGGATGATTTTCAGGCCTTAAAACGGGTTCTTCGGTTTATCAAGGGTACTATGGATCGTGGTCTGCTCTTCACCACTGGAGACTTACAATTAACAGCCTACTCTGACTCAGACTGGGCTAATGATATGACAGATGGTCGTTCGGTAACTGGGTATTTAATATATCTCGGGCCGAATCTTGTGTCCTGGAGCACAGAGAAACAGACCCGGGTGTCCAAATCCTCTACGGAGGCTGAGTATCGTGCCCTATCCTCGGCCGCCTCGGAGGTCATGTGGCTCACTTATGTTTTGATGGATCTTCGTATTCCTGTGTCTATACCACAGCTTTTCTGTGACAACCAGTCCGCTATTTGTCTCACAAAAAATCCAGTTTTTCATAAACGCATGAAGCATGTGGGAACTGATTGT